TTCTAGTTTTCTATTCATTTCAACAGAATTTGCCTTTACTTTGGGGAGCATTTTTATCACAGCTGTTTAAAAAGTCTTGGTTAGATTATTCAAACATCTGTGTCACCTCAGCACTGGCATTGGTTGATTAACTTTTCCCATGCAAGTTCAAATTTTCCTGGTTCTTCATTTTGGTTCATATCTGGGATATTCTGAATATTGTTATGAGACTCTACATCTTGTTTAAATCCAGTGGAGAATGTTCATATTTTTGTTTTAGCAGACAATCGACCAGGTTGGGTTCAGGCAGCAAATTCCAACTACCCTTCTGTGGGTTGTGGTTTCAACATCAGTTCCATTTTCAAAACCTAGTCAGAAGAGTCCTCTGTGTGTGCATCCAGTCTGGGACTTGGGCAGTGGTCTGTCCCTTAGTTCAGTCCTGAAAGTCTTTGGTATGTTGTTTAGAATCAGATGCACACATGCACAGCTTGGGTTATCCTGAAGTCCATAAATGACTTAAAGGGGTTGCTTTCCTGAGCTCCCTTTCCCTTTGTTTTCTCTTTTGTGCCTCCTGGTTCCTTGGGCCTACCCTTCCTGGGCCTCTGGCCAGAAAGCTGGGGCTTTAGTTACCACACTCTGCCAAGAATTTTCGGAACTGCACTCAGATCTGGGGCCAAGTAGCAGGAAGGCAAAGACAGAAAATAAGCAACCAAAATTGCACCCCATCCTCTTGGGACTACAGCTCCTCTGATCAGAGAGGAAGGTTCCCCTCCCTCAGTTTTAGGTGCCTGAAGGGCCTACTGCTGCCACTGTCCCTACCACCATCACTGTGGGATTGCCTGGGGGCTGGGGCATGAGGGAACAACTCTTGGGATTTCCCCCTCTGTCTGAGCCTTGGAAGCCCTTTTCCCACCCCAGAGCTTTAACTAGAGGTCTTCTCCTGAAGCTGTTTGTGCCTTAGTGTCCATTGCTGAGGTTTGGGGTACCTTGAGTCTAAGACATGGGACACTGAAGGGAAAATAGGAAATTAACTGCCACTTTAGTAATACATTGAATTCTGGTATTCTTCCCCTATCTGTCTGCTACTATTTATGTCTCAGAGTCCTCAAACTGCTGTTAAATGAATTCTGAATGGGCCTTTAGCTGCACTGAGAGATAGGGTGAGTGTGCTCACTCCATCTTAACTGGAACTGGAATCTTTTTTCTTACTTTTAAGTACCTACACTAACAGAAAGAAAGTCAAATAGGGATTAATTGCAAAGTTATCCTGCTAAAGTTCTAAAACGTTCTTGGCAATGTGGTATGCCCAACACTTTGTAAATTCTCTCCAAATAAAATAGTAAAGACCTATTTTATTTGAATAGTAAAGACCTCTGCCCAGCTCTTCCCTGGTACTATTCCCTTTTAGGCTTGATGCAAAGCATGAGATAGCAAAACGATTGGCCTCTTGCAAGTATTCCATGAGAGCATGCATAAGGCAGAACTAGGTGTGGAAGCTGGTAGGTGTTGTCGGGAAAAGTGAAGGCTAAGTAAACTGAAAACCAGTCATAATTTGAGGCTGACTCTGAATCAACTTGCTCTATCCTCCACTAAGAGGGAGTCAGCGGAAAAATGTCTGAATTCTCATTCTTTGCCAGCCTTCACTGAGAACCACGTACAAACCTCAAGCTTCATTGCCATGGTCCATAGTTATTTGAAGATTAAGCCCAAGATCTTTTCATAACTCCAGGGGAGATGGAGGCTGAGGACCAAAATCCCCTTGAACATTGTTAGCTGTACATTGAGGTTTTATGTACTTTTCTATACATTTGCTATATTTCACATTTTTGATACAATGCCCAACTAGTGAGTTACTGTAAAATGGACACCTATATAACCCCCTTCAGGTCACTAAAAAGAATATATCAACACACTAGAAGCCCCCTTGTGCCCATCCCTCAACATACCCCCTTGAACACCACCATCTAGCTATTATAGAATTCAATTCCTTGCTTTTAATACTGAATTATGTATCTAAGCAAATATGGTTTAATTTCATTTGTTTTTGAACTTTATATAAAAGGATAAACACAGTATGTACTGTTTTATCTGACTTCTTTTGCCCAACAATACATCTTTAAGATTTATCCATGTTGTTGCATCTGGCTATGGTTTGCTCATTTTTACTGTTCCCTATGAATATAATTTGCATATTCATTCTACTGTTGTTAGGTATTTGGATTGTTTTTGGTTTTTGACAATTATGAACAATGTTCTTATAAACATTTTTATACACATATCTTGCATATATATGTCCTGTTATGTATAAGCATCCATTTCTGCAGATAATATACCTAGAGGAGGAACTGCTAAGTCACCAGGTATGTGTATATCCAAATTTACCTAGATACTGCCATAGTTTATTCCACAGTGGTTGTACCAAATTATGCTAAAACAAGTAAAAATCAGAGTTTTCACTGCACCACATCCTTCTCAACATTGGAATTGTCAAGTTTTTCAAGTTTTGCCATTTGGTAGATGTGTATTGATTTCTCATTGGGATTCTAATTTGCATTTCACTGAGCACTAACCCAATCAAACACCTTTTCAGAGGTTTATTGGCCATTTGGATTTCCTCTTTTGTGAAATGCCTATTCAAGTCTTGCTCATTTCTGTAATGGGTTGCTGCTCCTTTATTCCTATTGATTTCTGTCATTCTTTGTTCTGGAAACAAGCCTTTTGTTTATTTGTGCTGTAAAGATCTTTTTTCACTCTGGATTTCCTTTCACTCTCTCTCTCTCTCTCTTCTTCTTTTTTTTTTTTTTCAGAGACAGGGCCTCACTCTGTCACCTAGGCTGCAGTGCAGTGGTGCAATCATAGCTCATTGCAGCCTCTAACTCCTGGGCTCAGGTGATCCTCCTGCTCAGCATCCTGAGTACCTCAGACTACAGGCACACACCACCATGCCCTCACTATTTAAAAAAAAATTTGTAGAGTTGGGGTCTCACTGTGTTACCCAAGCTGGTCACAAATTCCTGGCCTCAAACTGTCCTCCTGCCTCAGCCTCCCAAAGTGCTGAGATTACAGGTGTGAGCCACTATGCCCATCCAGCCTGCCTTTTCACTCTCTTAATAGGGTCTTTTGATGAATAGAAGTTCTTAACCTTTATGTAATAAAATGACCAATCTTTTACTACACAAATAGATACAAATTTTGGATCAATTTAAGAACTCTTTCTGTCTGTCCATTCTACCTTAAAGTGACTTCTCCTGCCTCAGCATTTTGGTGGGAAACATACAAGGTATGAGATAGAAAGATGCTAAGGGAGAGAGTACGGGCTCTAGAGTTAGACAGAGATGAATGGCCCAGAACAGGTTACTTCATGTCTTTGAGCATTAGCTTCTTTATCTATAATAAAGATATCAAAGCTATTGTAAGGAGATCTAGTATTTGATAGCACAGCAGAGTGATTACAGTCAACAAAAATTTATTGTATATTTTGAAATAATTAAAAGTATAATTGAAATGTCTGTAACATGAATAGCTGTAAATGCTTCAGGTAATGGATACCCCGTTTACCCTGATGTGATTATTACTCATATGCTTTTATAAATATATACACCCACTATACACCCAAAAACATTAAAAATTAAAAAAATTAAAAATTAAAAGTGATTGTGAGAGATAGCTGAGAGGTGCATAAAGCACTCAGCACAGTGTTGGCACACAGTAAAATAAGCAGACCCTCAGTAAATAGTAGTGGCTGTGATCATATTCTCTGAATGTCTTTCCTTTTGTCCACTCTCCATCAACTGCCTGTACCTCATGGCTGTTTTGTGAATCATCAATCTATCATATCAAAGGATGGCAAAATGAATTAACTGCCCTCAACAGGCCAGCAGTCTCCCTGGCATTCATGGGCGGTACCCATGGTACGAGGCCCACGTGACTTTACCTAAAAACACAGAGACACTCTTCCCTCAAAGTCATGTCATTCTGAGGCTCCCATAGGGACCCAATGGCAGCAAGCTGAAGAATACAAGTAGTCTCTTCCCACTTCCTGTCAACGGGTACAGTGGTGTGGAACAGGTAAACTGCCCCAGATATGGGAGAGCCAGGCTCCATTGGGTCTGGGTGAATTTGGGGCAGGTGTGCTGATCTGTGTGTCCTGCACTGTAAACAGGGAAGAGAAAGAGTGTGTCCACCTACATGCATTTTGGCATGAGTGCACAGTACAGTGTGGTACTCCTCTCCTGGAAGAGGTCTGTATTTGAGTATAAGGGGTATGCGTGTAAACATGCAATGCAGTGTATGTCCTCCGGAAACTGGGATGCTCCCACCAGCCCAGCATTCTAGTGGAGAGGCCTGATGGTTATCTGCTCCAGCATTCCCACAGCTTGGGGTCTTTCAGTGCCCTCTGCTCCACCTTCTGAGACAGGATATATGCACAGAAAACAGACATCCTTTTATATGACTCTTGACAACTCTGAATGAAGAGGGAGCATCTACTGCAACTCCTCTGTGTACACTCTTTTCTTTTGAGGCAGAGTTTCGCTCTTGTTGCCCAGGCTGGAGTGCAATGGCACGATCTCGGCTCACCGCAACCTCCGCCTCCCAGGTTCAAGCGATTCTTCTGCCTCAGCCTCCCTAGTAGCTGGGATTACAGGTATGTGCCACCACACCTGGTTAATTTTGTATTTTCATTAGAGACAGGGTTTCTCCATGTTGGTCAGCGTGGTCTCGAACTCCCGACCTCAGGTGATCTGCCCACCTCAGCCTCCCAAAGTGCTGGGATTACAGGCATGAGCCACCGCCCCCAGCCAGTTCCTCTCTGTACACTTTTAAAGTAACGGAAAAGTTCTCTGGATGTGTCCCTCTTCTGCTTCCCTGACCATAAAGTCTCTAGAAAGGCTTCTTGAGACTTCCCCCAATTCTGGGGTATTCCGTTGCCCTCCCCAGCAAACCCATAATTGATTAGGCTTCACAAAAAATATGGCTAATATTGAAGGCCAAAAAGATGATAGAGGGGGAAGAGTTGGTACCTGAGCCTAGTGCTTGTCCAGCGGAGTCAAAGGAAAGAACCACTGAATCTGCAACACAAGAGGACAAGTTCATTTCTTTCTTCTTTTTATAGTAAAAAAGCAAGCTCCCACTGGCTCTGCCCAAACCCTCCCTCAAAGGAGTCAACTGGAAGGGAACTCAGTTGCACAGCCCAGCTTCCCAGGCCCATGCCCACCCATCCACTGGGCCAGGAGACCCTGCCCAGCCCAGTACCCTTTGCCTCCTGCCAGAAGGAGAGACGTCTCAGGGCAGGGAGCAGGCCCCAAATTCTTTAGAGGCATGTCTTGCCAGATTAGGGGACAAATTTACTTCTTTTTCCTTCTTCTAGTGAAAATGGAATTAAAACCAAGCAAAATAAAACTTCCCTCCTGAATCTAGTTAAAGGCACTAACATTTCCCCTTTGATCTCTCCATTTCTTCTACTTATATACTCAATTGTTTATTGTTTCTTCCCCAAAAAAGGCTTAAAGTGGCCTATTGAAATTTACAGTACACACTAGAATTTCAAAATGAAGACGACAAAGGAAGGAGAAAGACTATATAGTGGGGGAAATGTTAGTGCACAAAATGCATGCCATGAGTACCTACGCAAACACCGTAGGCAGAATCAGGGCCTGAGCCTCCAAACAGTCAAAGAAAAAAGGAAATGAACAGTTACAAGACTCAGTACCCACAGGGCATTCATTCAGTCATTCATTCATTCAAATGTCCAATAAATATGCATTGGGCATCTACTATGTGCAAGATACTATACTATGACAGAGATACAGCAGCAAACAGAAAAAGCATGGTCTCCATCCTTATGGATCTTTCTGCTATCAGTCTGGGAGAAAAAAATGTTACCAAAGAACAAACTATTTAACTAGAACTGATAAAAGAAAAAAAGGAAGTATTATGAAAGTTTATGTTAGGAACTAGACTGAGTACAGAAGGGGAGTGGGTACTGGATAGGGAAGACATCTCTGAAGAAGTGACGCTTGACCTCATAGCTGAAGGATAAGTGAGGGTCAAACCCAACAAGCATGGAATGGGACATTCAAGGCAGAGGGAAGGCCATGTGTGAAGAACTGAGGCAAAATGGAGTCTGGTGCTCCAGAGCAACTGAAAGACCAAAACACAGAGAACTTTCTCTTGTGGGCCTTAGAAAAAGAGATGCCGGCCAGCTGCAGTGGCTCAAGCCTGTAATCCCAGCACTTTGGGAGGCTGAGGCGGGCGGATCACGAGGTCAAGAGATCAAGACCATCCTGGGCAACATGGTGAAACCAGTCTCTACTAAAAAAAAAAAAAAAAAAAAAAAAATTAGCTGGGCGTGGTGGCACATGCCTGTAGTCCCAGCTACTCGGGAGGCTGAGGCAGGAGAAGCACTTGAACCTGGGAGGCGGAGGTTACAGTGAGCTGAGATCATGCCACTGGACTCCAGCCTAGTGACAGAGCAAGACTCCATGTCAAATAAAAAAAAGAAGAAAAAACCAGACACTGTATGATGTTGAAGATTATATATTCTACATTTCTATACTAAGTAACTGTAAATCTTGTATGGCTGTTTCTTACAACATAAGCTAATGCCAAATGATGGCATAAATTAAACATAGAGCTCAATAAAAACAATTACAAGGGGCACCAAGATGATGTAAGGCCCAAGATAACCCAGGAGCCCCCAGCCTCAAAAGGGATCAGATTCCAAAGACTTACTCCAAAGGAGTGTCAGCTGGATGCAAATGGCACCAGAGTCTACAGCCACACCCCGCCCAAGCATTATGGGCATTTTCTCTCATTGCACATGAACATTCAACACAATAGTTATCATAACTGTACATAACATCTGTTCCCACTGCTAGGTTGTAAGTTCCATAAAGGCAGACACCACATCTGCTTTATTCACTGCTACATTACCAGCATAACACCTGGCACTCAATATTTGCTGAATAACAATGTATAGAAAAATGAATGAATCACAAATTTTCAGACACTCTTTCATCAATATTTTTTTCTCACACCCATGTGTTTGCTAAGAACTGGGTGGCAGAGAGCTGGAGGATGTGGTTTCTGAGGCAGATACTCTGTACTGCCAGTTAAAGATAGATCCATATGCTTTGAAATCTGCCAAGAAAAAGGTAGGGTTGTCACTTTTTTACAAAATGTGGAATCACAATCAGGACACTTGGCTGAAAAGACAGGTGAACATCCTATCTCATACAGTCAATGTCTAACTCATAAATTCTACTTCTTTTTTTTTTTAAATAGAGACAGAGTCTTGCCCTGTCCCCTGGGCTGGAGTGCAGTGGTGCAATCGTGGCTCATTGCAGTCTCTAACTCCTGGGCTCAAGTGATCCATTCATATCAGCCTCCCAAACAGCTAGGATTACAGGTGCATGTGACACCCTGCCTGGCTAACTTTTCAATTTTTTTTTAGAGATGAGGGTCTTGCCATATTGCCCTAGCTGGTTTCAAACTCCTGGCCTCAAGTGATCCTCCTGCTTTGACCTCCCAAAATGTTGGGATTACAGGCACAAGTCATCATGCCTGGCCAATTCTACTTCTTTATCAGCATTTCTCACATTTATCTCCTCTCATTGAGAAGACTGACTCCTCCAAACCCCTGCTTTTGAAAACAGTTTTCTTGAGGTATAATTCACGCACCACGAAATTTACTCATATATGTGTGCAATTCAATAATTTTTGGAAAATTTACAGAGCTCCATAACCATCATCACAATCCAACTTAGAACACTCTCATCACTCCAGAAAGATCCCTCATGTCCATTCAGTCATTCTCTGCCCCTACCTCCAGCCCCAGGACCCAACAAGTTACTCTGTCTATAGATTTGCCTTTCTGGACATCTGCCTATCATCTTTTGCTGGGACTGCTCTTATTGCCCCCAAAACACACTTCTGCCTCCAGCATAGCCCATTTCCATCCATCCTTTCTACTGATTTCTCCAAAAAGTATAACAGATTGTGTCTCTGCTCTTCAATAAAACCCTTCAGAGGCTTCCTGTGGCCTGTAAGATAAAGTTCAAGCTCTGACATTCTATGTCTTTACCATTTGCCTCATTTACCACCTCGAGTTCCAGATACGCAAAATTACTTATATTTCCCAAGAGATGTGTGCCTTCATGTCTTCAGACATTGGACATATTGTCTTCTCTGCAGGTTTGCATTAAAAAAAAAAAAAAAAAAAAAAAACTCCCACTTTTCCACTAAGACCAACTCAATTGACCCCTTTTCCCTGAAGATGTCTCTGATCAATTCTGCTCACTTACTTCTTTAGGCCATCACTGCACTTCTATTATGGCATTCATTATACTGCATTATAATCCTTGTTTGCTTTTCTTCTTCTTTCATTAAACTGAAAGTTCCCTGAAGACAAAGATTGTCTATTCATTTTGAGGCTTTGATGCCTAACTAATGACTGACACATACAAAGTGGTCAACATGTTTATTCAACTAAGAAATAAGCTAGTAAGTATTCTTGCTTTCTTTCAAAGGTGATGTTATCTGAGTGATATTTTACAAGTTGGGGGTAAAATCCATTCTGGGTATTGACTCCCATCAGTTCCAATCAGTCCTGAAGTGTGCTTGTCCTGTGAAGGTTCAGGGGTCCAAACCTGGCCTCACCCTAGGAAAATGAGTGCTCACACACAGAGTATCCACACAGGAGGAATAAGAAAAGCATCCTAAGGGTTTCTAGGTGAGAGATCACATTCCCCTGAAGAAGACTGGGAATGGAATTCTGAGGAGCTGACTGCCCAGATGAGCAACAGTAAAAACAAGCATCTCAAATTTTTACTGCAGTTGACAAGTATTTTTCCAATTGCAATTTATCTTCTTTGTACTCACACGCGGTCTGGATATAAAGTCTCTTTTAAACTTTTCAAATTACATGTACAGAAAAAAAGGCTAAAAGTTAACTAAACGACTAAAACTAAGATAAAAGAGACTAAATCTTAACGTGGTTGTCTCTGGGTGGCAGAATTATAGTAATGCTTATTCTCTGCATTTTTGTAAACTTTATATAGCAAACATGTATTACTTGTATCATTTGAGGGGACAAAAAGTTCAAAAAAGAACTTCTAAATTCAGCTCTAGGATTTTAACCTCCAACTCACTGGTACCAATGCCAAAGGATGGAAGGTTCTTGAATGCCTTCATTATGCACTGTACATGCTGAAATGCTGTTGAGTTTTTCTCTTTAATTACTGAGGTCATCCTTATAGTTCATGGCACTTAAATATTCCCCAACAACATCAGTCTAAATGGACTGGGCTTTCCTCGCCCTTCTTTACTTCTCCTTCCTTCTCACAACTATTATCAAGTGGCTATTACGCGCCAGGCCCATGGAGCCAAATTAGAGATAGCCTTTGCCTTCAAGCCAAGGAAGACAGACCACTTCATAAACACTTAAGATAAAAATAAAGTGATAAGGGGGAGCAACAAACAGGTGACAGTCTACTGGAAAGAGTCAAAGTCTTTGCAAATATTATTTCCAATGGTAGTAGAATGCTCCTACAATCATACATTTTTAAACTTCAGAAGAGGCAAGTGAGAGAGTAGATATTTTCAGAGGAAGTTAGTGACATATTCATGTTTTGTGTAAGTTTTTAAATGAAATCTGCTGTGAGCATTAAAGGTTTGATGAATTTTGTTTTGATGAATTTTGCTTTGACTTCAGAAACAGTTTGGCCATTCATTATTTGTGATTTATTCTAAAGGATGTAAGATTATTTTAGTTATAAACCACTTTGACAGCCAACGGGAAAACTTAGTATTCAACAAACTGAGAAGTTTGCTTTGCAAGAAACAGAGCAAGACTATCCTGACTTCTCCCTCTCAGGCTAGCAAATATGTCATTTTTACTTCAGTCATCCCAGGCTCCAGCTGTTCCTGGCTCCCAGGCCAGAGGCAGCCATGTGGCATGCCATACAAGTGACCAAACAGAATTCCAGACCGAAATACAGCACAGCCTTGCTGCACATGACTTTGTTCAACGAGGAAACCTAGAATTTACTGGCAAACTTTTATTATAGTC